TGAATTTCTCCTGTTGATTTATTTTAACATAAGTCACCCAACGTAAACATAAAATGTTCAAGGTGTGCAGTCTGCATGTGTGATTTTTACTTAACTGAGGATTTTTGTTTTTCTTTCTACCGCTGAAATTAGATTTTTAGAATCATACCAGATTAAACAGCCACTTACTTCTGAAAATGTAGATCCATATCTTATGGAAGTGTATAATGAGGCTATACAAAAACCTATCTGTGTTTCTTAATAAGCAATCTAAATTTCTCTGGATTATCAGCTTTAGAGATAATGCATTTGGAAAAGGGAACAAACACTGTTGTGACAAATAGGTGTGTGTGAACAGGAAGAGACAAACTTGAATAGGTTCTGAAGAACTAAGCACATGTATGTTCCATTAAAGGTGCTCTTGAAGTCATCATTTCCTCCAAATACAGCATGATTTGTGCTGTTCCTGATGTATACTGCATTTTCTTTGGGTCATGAAAATGAATTGTTTCGCTGGTGTTTGCTGGAGAAAGGAGTGCAGTTTCAGGCTCAGTCCCTTTGTGAGAACACAGGAGCTGGTTACCTTGTTTCCTGGTGTTATTTATGTACTGTGTCCTAAGGAGGAACTTGACCATCAGTAGCTGTATTACTTTAGTAGCAGTTAAACTGTAAGTCTCAACAGCATAATGGAATTTTTTGCTATCAAAATGCCTCTGTTCTATAAAACTAGTATGTTGCTGTTGCTGTATCCATGCTGCTCTATATGCTTTCCAGTTTATGTAAGGGATACGGGGACAGCAAATGCCATAAAAATTCAAAACTGAAAATATAAGATGTGCTTAACTTCACAGATTCAGTAAGCCTGAAAAAGAACTGGCCTCATTAATGAATGTGTATTTGGCACCTTTGAGGATTGGCACAGATGCTGTAGCTTTGGCCATGAACAGTGCAGGGCTTCAGCTGTGTGACACGTCTGTAGTCTCGGCAGGAGCATTCCACTGGCTCTTTCTACTGAGCAAGGAGAGGGTAAAAATAGCAATGGTAAACTTTCCATCTGTATCGCTCGAAGCTGAAGCCCTGAGGGGTGGGAAGGGTTCAGTATATTATGCTCATAGTTAAAGATGCTGTATGATAATACATAGTTTGTAGATGGTGCTGTCAGCCAGAAGGCATTAAGTGCCTCCCCCTTGGTGTATGAGGAAACTGAGGTGGGACATGGCCCAAGCAACAACCATACGGCTAGGCAGATGGAACTAGAAGTAGTTGTGTCCTCTCGTCCTTTGCAGTACTTGCTGTCAGCAGCATTCCCAGTCTCCTCTGTCCCACTGACCTGCTGGCATGACTGAGGTCTCTTACTACTCTGTGTAGGAGTGAGTGGGAGAGTCTGGGGTGTGCATTCTTAATAACCAGCTGCTGTGCACGTAGTTCATGCTAGCATAATGAGACCAGAATTGCTGGTAAACCTAATTTGTATAAAATGAGGCAGTAACACAGAGGGGAAAAAATTACTGTGTTATTATTAACTGTTGGTGCCTTAGCTAGACCTGCCCTGAAGCTGTAGGTACAGATAGCTCAACTGCTTGTGCAGGTTGCTGTGGGTTTTTTCCTGCACACGTAAGAGATGTAATCTGTAAGCCTCACAGTGTACTTGTGGCTTATTGAGAGTGGAGTAGTCTGGAGAGCTTTGAGCTTTGCCACCTGGTAAGTGTTTGTGGGTAAGGGGGAGCAGAAATCCTTGCATCAGTTGTACTGCAGTAGCTGTACAGTAGTGGAGTTCCCTTGGGGAGAGGGAACCATGCCTGCCTTTTCTTCTCTTTTTCCCCTCCTTTGTCAAATCAGTGTTTTGCATATACCCACAGTGACTGTGTGTTTCCTGCTCTGGCTTTGCTGAAGGCTGGTTTCCATGTTGCGCTGGTGCCTTGATAGTTTAGAACTTTCTGATGGACTCCACAGAAGTGCAGGAGCATATCCAGAAATTTAACTTGGGTCTCCTGCTCCGTCGAATGGAGCTCTGTTTCCACAGAGACCAAAGCTCGTGTGTTTCAAGGAAGTTATTTTTAGAAGCTGCTGTTTAGCTGGTGGAAGGACTTCCTTAATAGGAGAGCAACAGGCGTTCTCTTTTTCCAGTGTCTTTTGCCTTTTTCTGTCACATTCCTTCCTTTTTTTTCCTGTGTCACTCAGTTTCCCTTTCACTGCCACCTTCTTACTCATGACTGCTCTTCCTCTCTTTCACTTTCTGTATTGCTGTTGCACAAGGACCTAATAGCACAAGGGAGTTTGCAGAGAGTGAGGGAAGGACCCAGCCTTGGTTTTAAGGCTGTTGGATTTTAAAGATCAAAGTCCAGGTCATTTTGTACCTCAGTTGGGAGGTACGTGCTGAGTCACCAGCTGAGCAGTTTGTAAGGACACAGGATCATGGAGCCAAGCCCTGGCCCTCAGCTCCAAGACCCTTACACAGGACAATTATTCATGGCCCTCACTTAGGAGTTGTCATATGTCCTTTGGCCTTACAATAAATAAATTTTACGTGTAGCTGTTTCTGCTGCTGTTTATGGTAAGCTCCGTGTCTCATTGCTGATGGATGGCCTAATGGTAAAAGGCTTAAAAAGATAAATCTGTTACAGTAACTCTTGGAAAGTGGGACTGTCTCTAACTAAACAGATTCCTTTAGTCGTCAGACAGTAGGAATGTACAGTAGAAAAGACGTGATCTAATGATAGGCTCAGAGTGCACTAACTCAGTGTCCTAATACCCTTTTATGATTATTTCTACTGTCAAAGTTGTCGAGTCGCCTTTCTGTGGAGTCAGATACTGAATAGTTGTAGCATTTATTTAGTGATCAGACTCTTAAGTTTAGAGGTTTTTTTAAATGGTGCTGTCATCTGTGTATCTTGACTTTACTGGCATATAACGAAATTGAGATTTTTCTCTAGAGTATCTATTGCCACAACAGCAGGGTACTCCACTGACAATATGAACTGTTCACAAACAAAATAACATCAAAAAGAGTGAATCTAAAGCAGATCAATTGAAGAAAATTGAAGGAAAGTTGAAGAAAATTGCCATACTAAGGCAATTGTGTGTGTTAAATTCTCTTGCCACCCTCTGCTGTCTTGTCATCCTGTGATTCTCATTCCAACATCTATTGCCATATTCCACTTATATTGTAAACCTTTTAGAAAGGGAACTTCACATTTATCATGATACTGGAGTTCAGGGTGGTGGTGTAAAACCTACCAGCATTAATACCATTCTACCTCCACTGAAGTGCCACACAGAAGATCTTGTTCCAGTCCTGTTTTCTTGTATTCCCTGATGTGGATGCTTTTCTGCCTGCCTTTGATACGATGCAACAGCTGGTAGATCAGATTGGATGCATGTGCTGCCTTTGGAGGTGCATTCCAGCAGCTGGAATGAAGTCTGTGAGGACAAGACTTTGCTGCAAGATCCTGTTAACATGCATACCAAGTCAGCTAAGCTCTGCTGTGTGCTGGACTATATCTAACACTAAGAGAGGGGGGAAAAACTGCTAAAAGAGCTTCACAACATCTCTTTAAAAACATCAGGCCGTGGCTGTGATGATAGACCACCAACGTGAGCTGCTGCTTGGTTACCAAGAGTCTAAAATTTTACTCCAGGGAGATATTTTTAGACAGTTGCTTATTCATGTTACAGTAGATGCCAAAAGCACCCTTATGCTCAGCAGTGTAAAAATACTAGGAGAATTTCAGTTTCACAGAGGCTGCAATCCAGTCTAGTTATATTTCATCCTAAAATGAGCGAATCTTGACATCCTGTAATTGGACGATTAGTACTGGATTATTCTTCTAATTGTAATTTTAATTATTAATTGATTATTCTTCCATTGCAATTTTCTCTTTTGCACATACCAAATCATTTAGCTGCTTGAAAGTCAAGTACTCTCCAGGCCTGTCATACACCTCACAAGTAGCTTTGTAAGGATATTGAAACTTCCCTGGTGTGCATGGGGCATAGTCTATAAACTGTAAGGTTTGATTTTCATTGTCATAGCAGTGACAGCAGGACTTTAGGCAGTGAGACTGGCAAAAAGGCATGTTTTGCACAAATTATTTTCTACTGGAAATGTGTTCTTTTCTGCACTCAATTATTCTTTATACCGCTTGCAATAGGAAGTGGAGTTAAAGAGAAGTCTTCTGGGTAAATATTTTATAATTAACTGAGTAATAGCTTTGATTTGTAACTTTCGTTACAAGCTGTGGTGGCCAAATATTATTCGCATGTTCCTAGCCACTGTCACCTCCTGTGCCCTTTCCTTTTACATCCTTTAAGTGTACGCTGAATGAGTCTCATCCTCAGCTTTTTTGCAGTGTGAACCAGCACACAAACTAGAGCAGTTTTATAGACTGTATGGGATTATCAGGGAGCCATCCAGGACTCCCTGTGAACCCTGAATTTTGTGGAATGATGTATCTTTATATTTACAAAATAAACTTGGTGCATTTTAAACTGGAAAAGAAAATTTAAGGAATGATTTGCACTGATCAGAAACTGGAGAAATGAACAGGTCTGTCCTCTTTGATGTCTTTAGCTACATTAACAAGGTAGTTTTGACTTTTTGTTCCAACTACATGGAAAGGAAGGTGAGCAGAGGAGTAATGGTGAAAAGGTTTTTACCCTCCAGGACATCCAGTTGAAATTCCTGAGAGTGACTGGATAGTGGGCAAGTCTGTTTTATAAGTTACCTTGCTGTGTAGTGAAAGACAAGAGCTGTTGATGAAGAAGGTGAAGATTAACAACCAAACTGACATTGCTTTGAGGAGGGCTCTCTTCAGCCTGTGTAATATTTTGATTATTTACTGGACTGTTTTAAACTTTATACTTCTAAGTTCCTGTCTCCTAGGAATAGATTTTAAAGAGCTGAAAAGGGTAGGAGGGATGCTTTGGGGGTTTTGTTCATTTGGTTTTGTTCATGTTTTTGTGATGTGAAATGTGTTGTGTGTTGGCTTTTTTTGGTAAAGGGATCTTTCTTTTCTCTGCAGGTATGGTGTTAGTCCTGAGAACATTATCCTGTATGGTCAGAGTATTGGTACTGTCCCTACAGTAGACCTGGCGTCTCGGTACGAGTGTGCAGCAGTAATCCTTCATTCTCCCTTGATGTCTGGATTACGGGTAGCTTTTCCTGACACTAGGAAAACCTATTGCTTTGATGCTTTTCCAAGGTATGTATAAATGCTGCCAAGGTGGTCGTTCTGTACTCAGCATGCTCTTTAGGTGTTTAAAAGGGACTAGTTGTGTAAGTACATAACAAGACTGGTGTTTGTTCCTCCTAATCGAGATCATGTAAACCAAAACAAAGTAAGTTACTGTCCCTCTTTTTGGAAGATTTTGAACTTGTTTTAAGAAGCTCTAGTATATTTTACATACAGAAAACTATATATAACTGGTTTTAAGATAAAGCAGTTGATTTTAGCCTAGTGTTTCATTGGAAAAGCAATTGCAACAGACTGAGAGTATCCAAATATTTGGGAATAGTAGAGGTCCTGGGAACAGCAGATACTGTGGGAATCTTTTGGAACTTCTGATTTGACCCAGTTTAAGTGATGGGAGAATATGAGAGGGGAAGCCAGTCTCTATAGCAGTGCAGATAGCCCTGGGGTTGGCGAGGGGAGGCTAAGTGATCCATGGAAGGGAGAAGACAAAACAGACACTCACTGAAGTCCTGTGCAAAACTTCATTTTGCTCCAGCAGGTCATGCTTGAAATAAGTGTAGTAAGGGATATTCGTAGTGTTTCTTATGTTCATTTTATTATGGTTACAACAGATTAAAATTAGAAGGTGTGGGAAGCTGTAGGTATAAATCTGTGTGCCAGAACAGCTAGAAGGAATGGTGACCGAGTAATAGAGGCTCTCATGGTATCCAAGTCCAGTCCCTGGTCAGAAGTATTCCAAATAAGTTATTAATTAAGTATTAATTTTTGGAGGTGTAGACAGGATTTGAAGCACTTATACTCCAACTCATCCATCATCCTCAAACCTGAAATCAAATATTTACAAATGCTTCTGTGAGAGGGGGGGAAAAAACAAAGCCTTAAAAATAGCTCTGATTACAGAAGTTACAGTGATTAGCTGTTACCAGCCAAATCAAATAACAGTTTTAGAAAGAAAAAGTGGAAGGGGTAACAGTGACAGCAGATGTACTGTAGCACTTGAGTATTTTGTTCTTGCCCTGCTGAGCTGTTCATTGCTGTCAGTCTGACTTCCCTGGTACTGGAGCAGTGAAAATAAACAGCAGTGCACTTTATGAATGTGAGCAGCACAACTGCATGTCTTCACGGTGGGAAACAAAATAGTTCTGTGTGCACCTACAGTGAATTGCTATTATGTGCATTTTATGTTGGGACTCCAAGAGAATTTGGTCTCTGTAGGTTTTTCTAGCTGCAGAGTGGTGTGGCTAAGAATACTAAGTAAGGCTGATGTGCAGTTTAAATACTGCCTTATGAGTCGCTGAGTTGGCAATGGGAAGCCTTCCAATTTTCTGCAAAATACAAATATTATCTAGCTTAATGGTCTGTGAATATATGTGGAAAAAAGAGTTTCATTATCTGAACACTGAAGTGAAAGGGGTTTCCTACATTAAATGAGACCTTCTATCTGGGCATGAAAATTATGTGTAAACATCTCTGTATGTAGCTGATATGTCTGTTACATCAGCCCTTCCATGGGCTGAAATCTTCAGTTTATATTGTATATCGATTATAAAGTCTTTACATTTGGCTGTGATATTAATTTTGGGATGAAAATTATGGAGGGAGGGAAAAATCTGCATTATTCTGATGCCTCTCTTACATTCTTGGGATTTTTTTCTGCCTTCAGTGTAGTTGCACACAACTCAAGTTCCAGACAGGAAAAGTGAAATAGGCTGCATTTTAATTTTAAATAGCACCTTAAATGACATGAAGCCTGGTGGTTTGTTTGAGAAGTATTGAGACAGAGACAGAAATGTATTTACACTCAGCTGTTTACTGGAATAGCAGTGACAGCTCTCTAGAATACTAAATGCTGAGGTTTATATGCATGAGGTTTAGTGCTTCAGTTTACATCTTAATTTTTAGTTAACTTTATGTTTTTGTAAAACTTCTCTGAGCCTGTATTTTTCAGTCAGTGTATGCTGGCATATGCATTTTAAAATCATTTTAAGCAGTCTTGATCAGTTTGTAAAATCTGTAGCCTTGACAAAGTTGCATTCTTTCTTGTTCTTCAAGAGCAGGAAAATCCAAGCAGCTTTTATCAGCTAGCCTAAAGAATAGGCTTGTCGTTCTGTCAGAACCAATGTTTGCAATCCTCAGTTTTCTATCCACTTCATCCCATGCACTGCATACTGTCCTGAGCCAATTTCTCCATTTGTTGGTGGAAGTGAAGCTGGTAGGAAGCTGAGAATTCATTAGCCCTTGGTGTCTATATACAGATTTGGAAGTATTGGTAACTACCAACGTGAAGTGTCTGTATGGAAATAAAAGTTGGTGCCTGCTTGAAGGGAGTCAGAGAAAGGTGCAGTTCATCACTTGGATGTTCACGTGCTACCAGTGTGCTTCATGACTGGGGCTTTCTGGCCTGACCTCTTTGGTGGGAAGGTGCCTTTGTCACTCTTCCCTTCCCTCAGAACCCGTTTTCCTGTGACAGGTAGTCACAGCTATATTGATTTGTTAAGTGTGGCTGAACAAAAGGAAGAAAGTTACTCAAAGGCCACTTTGCAGGCAGAGCTGGCAAAGAGGTTGGTTGCATGAAGTAAAATCCCGTGTGATTTCTGTGGTTTGCAGTTAAATATCCCTGTGTAATGCTCTTCTCCCAGTTTTCTATTTCGTCATTCGAACTTAAACACTCAGTACATAGAAGAGATTGTTTTTCTTTAGCTGAATCTGCCTAATTTGGGGGTTCAAAGACAGGCTCAAGCCTATGAGCTGAGGCTGTTTTTATGAAGTCGTATGCCTGGAATGTTGTTAATTAGTTTCTAATCTGTTAAATTGGAAGGTGATAACATGTAATGTGAAGAGTCCACTCTGGCAGCATGTCCCATGGACTCTTACTTGCCTCACAGTGTTCTTTGTGGTGGATATACCTGTTGTTTTGATTTTGGGGTTTTGGTACCAAACTATCTGCATGCTGCCCATCCAGACTTCTTGCTCTTAGCACTGGTGGGATGGTGGTGATGGCAGTGCAGGTTCCTGTTTACACATGTGTTTTGGGAATGAGCCTTGTCCCATATCCCTTGTGCACAATTCCAAAGATTTGCAACCATTTAAAAACATGCAGTGGTAACTGGATCGTGTATCAATAGTTAAACTTGCTTCCTCTAATGATGTGAAACGTAGAGCCCTAAACTGAGCTGTGTTTTTCTTTTCCATCCCCCAGCATTGACAAGATCTCTAAAGTAACCTCTCCTGTGCTGGTCATCCACGGTACTGAAGACGAGGTGATCGATTTCTCCCATGGGTTGGCCATGTACGAGCGATGTCCACGAGCAGTGGAGCCCCTCTGGGTGGAAGGGGCTGGGCATAATGACATAGAGCTTTATGCACAATACTTAGAGAGACTAAAACAGTTCATATCTCATGAACTCCCCAACTCCTGAAGAAGCCTACCTGATTTTACCTCAGTTACTGTGAACGGAAGAAATTACCTGGTTTTGCACATGCTTTAACTGGATAGCTGTAATAGCTTTATACTATGAAGAAATGCCCTGTCTTTAGGGTGTTCTAATCAAACATCTGATGAAATTTGTCTTTTATATCTGGAAATGATTCTACTAATGCACACAAATATGGTCAACTACTGTAATTCCAACAATTTTTAGCTTCATTGCCCTGGAGGAAGTGGGAATCCTAGCTGCTTATGGGGACACTTTTTACCTAGTGCTGTATTAATCAAAGATCAGTTGTCTCTGTCTCACTTCAGATCATTTATAATTCTGTCCTGCAAAGACTTTTTTTCCCCAGTGTTCTCAACGTGGAGAACACAACTGTTATGAGCTACAGCTTGTTCTGAACAATCAGTCATGGGTTCAATCTAAGGGAGTACTTTCTCTGTGAAGTTTCTAGCTGTGGTATTGTAACTGGAAAGTTATTGTGATGAAATTCCCCCTCCTCCCTTCTAGTGTTCTTTTGTTAACTTACTGATTTCCCAAGTAAATTATTTAAATATACTTTTACCTGAAAATAAACAAACTACTATATGGGGCTAAACTCTGTAACGACCTCTCCATTACTTGTATAAACATAACTGGAATATTCTTAAAGGATCTAGGGACAAAATTGCTTTTGTTTAAAAATAAATGTGTAAATTTACTACTAGAAAACTCATTTTAATATTCAGATTGTCTGAATAATAGCCATAACAGACATTTCCTTCTGTAAAGCATTCCTGTAGACTTTTTAAAAGTACTGTACATACTTGAATTTACATTGTGCATAGATTCTTAATTGGTAGTTTTAATTTAAGTCTAGTTACAATAAACTGCAAAACTCTGGTTTGTATATGATTGAATACATTTTGTTAAAATATGTTTTTATCCCTATATTATTTTGCTATTAAAATTTTATAAAGTTTCCAGGACGAAAAAAAAATTTACACATTTATGTTTTGATGAATTATGTAACTAAATTTTCATTGAGCTGATCTTTTTAGTTTAGAAGTAATTTGATTCTTTGACACTGGAATCGCACAGATTATGCATCAGAAATGCAAAACACTTAAAAATTGTTACACTACTAGCATAGGTCTAATTTTTCCAAATTTAAAGGCCTTAAATGTACTGTAAAGCCTCAGATTGTTGTATAAATTGATTGCGATTGATTGCAGTTTGTGTCCTGTTGCTAGAATGCAACACAGTGATTGTAATGGAATAAAGGATGCATGGATTAGAGCTTGCTCAAGTTTTGAATCTTATTTGGCACATAATTTTCGTACACAAGGAAAGTGTAAATACAGATTACTCAGTAGAGTGATCTGGGTATGTAAATCAAATGTAAAAGATATTATGTTTAAATGGTGTTCAGCTGGTTTTAAGTAACGAAAAATCATGATTCATTGCCTGGAAGAAATGTTTGAACATAGTTGTCATGAGTCCTTATAACAGGCCTGCAGTTAATTTTCAGTGCTGCAAGTGTGTATTGTCTTTGATTATTGCCTTGGCCCTGTGACTGTAAAAGGAGAAAAACTGGTATTTTCACTTACAGTGGGGGTAAGTGAGGACACTCATCCTGCTCCATGTCATCTGGGTCCTTAGGCTCTAGGTCTGTGCATCTGTGTTGTCCAGTTGTGAGTTTTCAATGTCCCAGGCAGCAGGGCCCCCAGCTGTTCTCTCAGTGACTCTTCCAGCCAAAATTGGCAGGTTTTGCCTGGCCACTCCCTTGCTCTGTTTTAAATAATTGTTCTGATACAAGTCTGAGGTTTTTTTTTAAAATTTTTATTTTGCTCCTTTATAAATCTCCACACGAATTCTTTCTGAGACTGTAGCCCTGCGGGAACAAAGCTGATGTCTGTGGTACAGGTACTCAAGGTAATGCTGAAAGTGTCAGCCTGTCCATGGAGTGACTTTGGGGATTTTTACCTAACTGGGCACTGTTTTTTTTGATACCCTCATTAAACTTTCTGTTGTTCTGAAACTTCAGCCTGCAGTGTTTCTTCTCCTCATGACCCCTTGTAGCTACACTTTTACTTCAACAAAGCGGTACTTTTAACCTTATCCCTATAAATGTTTTGGGTTTTTTTTTAAATTACTACATTTCCAACTCCTGAAAGTCATTTTGTGACTTGTCTTTGCATTTGCTTTGCTTTTTGTCAGTATTTCTCTGTTAATGATAGCCCTGAATATGAACTCAGTGTTGGTGTGTGTGTCCCTTGGTCTCTGGAAATGCAGCCCAAGTTCATGGTGTTCTGGCTGAGCAGGAATTTCCACTTGTACTATCTTTTATTTGCCTGAATTCCTGCCTAACTAATTCTCAGAGGTGCCTCACTCTTCTGGCTTCTTCATTGTCTGTTTTGCTTTGTGAAGTCCTTCTGCATTTAACAAACAAATATGTTATGCTGTTAATTAAAATGTTAATGACCTATCAATGATCCACTGGTATGGATCTTCCCACTCCATTAACTTAGTGATTTGTTTACCTGTTTGGTCCCTTAAATAATTTTCCTTGTAGCCCTGTTCCCATCCAATAGTTCCTAAATGAATTCTGACATTTTTGTAATTTTATGACATATGCTCTATACAAAATAAATACTAATAGTGAGCTGCTTTATGTTGTGCACTTGTATAAAAGCATCCCTTTCAGGCATTTCAAAGCACTGCTGGTCAGACTTAAAACTACTATTGGTGGAAAAAAACGTGTGGCCAAGTTATGAAGCTGCAGAAATCCATCCATGACAGTGGATTTCAGGCCCCCATTTTTTTAAAGGAAAAAAAAAAAAGGTGAGAGCAGAATTTTTAAATGATGGGAAAGGGGATGATGTGAGGTTATGAAAAAGACATTTTGGGCTAAAAAATAGTCTGTTCCAGCAAAGTGCTAACACTCTGTCATTTAAATGTATAATGTGGGCCTTTACAAGAACTTGTTATGCATATTTTAGAGCTACCAAGGTGTCACTGTAAAAATGGCTCTGTGTGCCTGGATAAATTATGCAATGGGTCTTCCAAGGGTGTAAGTGATCACTAACATTTTGTTGTTGGTGGGGATGCTCTATCCATTGTTCCTGTGTCACTGACCATCTCTGTTCATACAGCCACAGATGATGTATGGCTTGTTTGCAGGAAGGGCAGGATGTGGTACATCTGTTTCACTATCTGTACTTGTTTATAGTGCTTGTACTTTGAAAAAGCCAGAGGATAATATTTGTTACGACTTCAAAGGTGGCATTTTTTCAAGGAGTCTGATATGCATCCTTTTAAAAACTTATGTAACTGTTTTAAATTTGACTTGTACTCACATGGAGGCCTGTTACCTGTGTTGCCTCTGCTGCGTTTTTGTTCCTCATTCTTCCATGTCATTCCTGTAACTTGTGCCAGCTCTGCTCAGGGCATTGGCCCTTCAGCTCTGAATACCCAAACCTGTATTTATGCTTAGAATTGTACACATCTTCTATGAACTCTGTATTGTATTGCTTTTTCTAAATGGTGCTAAACATAGAAGTAGAGACCCAATGTACTTGCTTCCTCTGGTTATTCGTTCAGCCGTAAACCTTGATTGTTCTCATTTGGAAAATGTTTTCTACCGCAGTCTATTTTATGAATGCAAACTGATGATCTCGTTTTAGCCCATTTAACTTATTTCTCTATGTCTTTCTTTGTGGAAATCTCCAACCATTTATCTCTGAAATGTCTTGATCAGCAGACGCAGTCGTTTGTACTCCAGCAGTGGGTAAGGGCAGGGGGTGGCTCTTCAATAGTGGGCACTGCTGTTGGCAGTGAGGTCAGGCACAGAAACTGCCTGCTAAGTCTGTATTGCTTTCCAAGTCCAGTGGTAATTGTTAGATCAGATGGGTGTGAATTTCAAAGCGGGAGGTTGTATTTCAACTGTGGAATATTTGGGTCTCCTAACTTTGGTTATGAGGATGTATGAGTATGCAGGACCAGCAGGATGGATAGTGAGCACTGCTCCTTTGACTCTGCCTCTGCCCATGTCTAGTTTTGAAGTTGGGCTTCTGCTGTATCCAAAGTAATTTTGCAGGAAGTATTAAGGTAATATGCCTGCTGTCTTAAAAAAAAAAAAAAAGAAGAAACCTCAAAAAAGGCTGCTGCACCATTAGTATGTCAATTGTAATTTGCCTTCTGGTTCCTGTGAGGGTGGAGGTGCTGTGGTTTGGGTTTCCCTGGGGCTCGGCGGTGCGGTGTGCTGCGAGGGCAGCACGTCGCTTTCTAAAGCGAGCTCTGGGCTGGCTGGGCCCGGGGGCTGCGGAGCACAGAGCTGCGGTTTCCCGCAGGGGCCAGAGCA